TGTATCTGGGATTCATTTGTCTTCTATAATTGAAACTTTGTTGCCATGAGCAGAGGCCACAGCTGGCTCAGAGCAGGGGGAAAGCTTGGCTTCCTCCATCACCCAGGCAACCAAGCCTCCTGCTTGCTCCAGCTCCATGGCTGCCGGCCGCCATCTTGGTTGGGTTAATTTGCATATAGTCGCTCTGATTGGCTGGTGGGCATGGCTTGGGGGGTAGTGAAGGAACGGTCAATTAGCATCTTTGTCTTTTATTTAGGTAGATATTATATATACTATTTTGATGTAATTTATTACCGCACAAATCTTTCTTCTAATTAATTTCCTTTCAATATGCATGAATCCATGCACTGGGCCACTAGTGTTTCATAAAGACCTATACATACTGCCCTAATTCTCTCCCTTCTTACTCTCTGTAACTGCCTTATATTCTGAAAAGCACAATGAAGTACTAAAGACATCATTTAATGCAGTGGTTCTAAACCTTCTTAATGCCATGACCCTTTAATACAGTTCCTCATGTTGTGGTGACCCCCAACCATAAAATTATTTTCGTTGCTACTTCATAGCTGTAATTTTGCTACTGTTATGAATTGTAATGTAAATATCTGATATGCAGGATGTATTTTCATTGTTACAAATTGAACATAATTAAAGCATGGTGATTAATCACAAAAACAATATGTAATTATATATGTGTTTTCCGATGGTCTTAGGCGACCCCTGTGAAAGGGTAGTTCAACCCCCAAAGGGGTTGCAACCCACAGGTTGAGAACCGCTGATCTAATGCAATAGTCTTTTCTAAGTTTTAATCTATTAGTCCCTCTAGAACAGCATTTCTCAACCTGTGGGTCGCAACCCCTTTGGCGGTCGAACGACCCTTTCACAGGGGTCACCTAAGGCCATCCTGCATATCAGATATTTACATTACAATTCATAACAGTAGCAACATTACAGTTATGAAGTAGCAACGAAAATAATTTTATGGTTGGGTCACAACATGAGGAACTGTATTTAAAGGGCCAGAAGGTTGAGAACCACTGCTCTAGAACGTTCTCTTCTGTCTTTCCAGAGCACCTTCATTCTCAATACTTCAATTAGTACCTCTATGAAGATCCTTTCACATTTCCAGTTATACTACAGTAACAGTTTAAGACTAGCTATGCATCAGAACCACACACGGAACTTTAAAAAATCCCTAGGCCCTACTTCTCCAGATTCTGGTTCAGTGGAAATGGAGTGTAGCCAGAACATTAGTCTATTTTATAAAGCTCCACAGGTTCAAATAAGGTTGAAAATAATTAGAACTACAGGCAGAATTTTTCATCTTTCCTTTGAATTCTGAGCTTAATCCCTTCATGAATTTCCTTTACACACATCTATGTGCTTCAATAATTTCTGGAGTCTGATCACTTACATGAAGATATGAGGGTTTTCTGGGAAATATCATAACACAGGACAGTGTATGCAATCATATTACTGACTCCTTTCTGAAGCAACATACAAATATTCCTATCTCTTGTACCTCTAAAAGAAATAGCTTTCTCAAACTTTTGGTCTCAGGACCTCTTTATGGTCTTAAAAACTACTGAACTCTCTAAAGAGTTTTTGTTATGTGGTTTATGTTTACTGATACTTATTATACTAGAAATGAAAATTAAGATATTTAAAAACTATTATTTCATTAAAACAATAAGCCCATTACATGTAGAATAACTTTTTTTAAAAAAATGATCACGTCATGTAGATCCCAGAGAAGTCTACTGTACATTTATGAGAGTAAGAGTAAAAGTAGTTACAGTAATGTCTTAGTATTATTACAAAACTAGTTTTGACCTGAGGACCCCTCAAGTCTTGGAATTCCACAGGGTCCATAACAATACTTTGAGAACTGTTGCTACCTATAACCCAGGTTATTTAGGATATTTAGATTGTTGGTACCAATATTTATTGAGTGACTAAATTATATTTTGGGCACAATTAAAAAGACTTTACTCATTCATTTATTCATCCATCAAAAATAATTTATTAAGTATATGCCATGAGCTCTCTGTCCTACTTGTGCTCTTACCTCACTGACATTACAATGTGGAAATCTGAACTTTTGCTAACGAGAGCTTAAGACAATCCCATATTTCTCTGCACATTCAGTGACAGCAGCAGCTGTTCTATTTTAGGCCCTGTCACATGTAAGTGGAGAACATACAAGCACAAATTCAATCTTGTAAGATTCTAAGCTGCCCCTATATATCATTTATCTCTAGACTCAGATCATAACCTCCAGTTAAAAGTAGAACCTTTTCTTGCCCTAGATGGTTTGGCTCAGTAGATAGAGCAATCAGCCCGTAGACTGTCCAGGGTTCAATTTCGGTCAAGGCTGATCCTCAGCCCTGGTTGGGGTGCATGCTGGAGGCAACCAATTGATGTGTCTCTCTCTCTGTCTCTCCCGTCCCTTCCACTCTCTCTAAAAATAAGTGGGAAAATATCCTCGGATGAAGATTAACAACAACAACAAGAACAACAAAAATAAAACCTTTTCTGATCCTTTATGGACCAGATCCTCTTTTACCTCATCTATTAAATCACCACTGATCTTCTTAGACCAACCTCCCTACCTAAGTCCTATGTAAAAACTTTTTTCTTATAACATTTCTCAATGCTGTGTTTTCTATTCAATCTCTGGTACCAGAAATTCCTAAGTAAAAGACTGCCCCTTTATATACCCTGAGAACCTGGTCAATTCAAAGTGTTTATCAGGTCTTTAACATATAGTTAGCACAATGAATATATTTCTGGCTTCTATGAACTCTAAAATTATAAAACAAATTATAAAACATGGTATACTACGTAATATTTATTTTTAAAATCTTTAAATATAAATCACTGGAATTAAATATTCATTTGTTATACCTAAATATCTGTCGTGAAATGTACTCACTTGGGTTCAGCTGTTCAAGAAATTATTAAAGAATACATTTCTTTGCAGGGTCTAATCTTAGCTACAGACCCTATTTAAAATATATACATTTTGAGGATATGTTGGCATGTTAACTGTTAATCATAGAACTAATTATGTTTGACCTACTGGATATTATTTCTTATGTTTTTCAACATATAGGATAAAAAATTAATTTAGAAGCTAGTTTACCAAACATTTTTTCATATGTATAAAAAAGATCTAGAGTTATAAAATTTTGAATAAAGGTTCATTCTAAAACGCTGATATAACAGCTAAAAATGTTAACTAGTCATTTATAATTAAGTGTTCAGTTACTACCTTAAATCCATTTTGGAAAAAGATGGTTATACAAAAACAAGCTTCCCGATTACCAAAAATAACTATATATGTAGATTTCCAAGATCACTTAGATCACATCTAAAGCAATTAATTCTGGGTGTCACCTTTGGAGAATTTAACAAATCTTAAAGGTCCCAGATAATAAAATAAAGAGTCAAGAAGTCATTTTCTATGCAGAATAGTAGTCTCCATATATTTAAAAGGTTTTCATATTGAAAAGGAAGTACGCTTCCCTTATTCCTCTGTAAAATTAACACATTGTTTGCGGGTAGTTTTCATCACGCCCTAACAGGTGGCGCGGGCCATTTTTGCTAATTTTTTGCGCAGTAAAATTACGATAACTTTAGTTTACGTATTTATACGTTACCCGCATTCTACCACTAGTCTATAAAAGACGTATTAAATACGTGTCCCACGCTCTACTAGACTGGTAGAACGTATAAATACATAACATGTATAAATAC